GTGGTGTATGAATAGTGTGTAGGGGGTGGCATGTGTGACTTGATGTGTAGTGAGATTAGTGAGGAGATTTGTGGGTTGTGCTAAGTGGGATAGTTGGATGTGGGTCATGGGGTGTGTGATAAATGTTGTGAGGTGTGTGATTTAATATGGTATGTATTTTATATGTGTGTGTGTGTGGGGGATGTTTTAATGTGTGATGTATTTTGTGTGGGGTGTGTTTTAATGTGTGGCATGTGTATTTAAGTAAAAATATAAAATATATCTATTTTATGTTGACATGTTACTTTGGTGGCAATCTCTAAATTTGAATATTTTATCACCAATTTTGTTATTGAAACGTTTTTAGAGTTAAAGAAACCAAATAAGCGGGTGCCTAGATTATATATCCAAATATAGCTTATTTTTAATTTTAAGCAGAAATGTCAAATGCTAAGGACGTCCTCGTTGAATAAAAATGTGTTTATGCATAAAAACATTCATTTTTTTTACTTGCAATTCAATTTAATCATTAAAAACATCATATAAACAAATATTTATTTTAAAAAAAACCAACGAATGGTTCCTAATGACATTTTCTGCTTAACATTTTCTAGAAGCTAAATGTTATAACTTGCACATTTGGAGTAATCCATATCCATTGAGTCGATGACGTGGGCACCACGTGATCAAAGTCACAACAAAACTTGCCGTCGATGTAGATTATAAACTTGTCGCTGGTCACTAGGATGTAGTGACTCACGGTGCGGTTAACGACTTTGAACGGAAGGGTTATATCTTGACGTAAAGCGGGCTTCCAAGCACCGTTGACCTGGACATCTAATACCACCTGTAGCTTCCCATAGGTAAGTACATTTAATTTAATCTTAATGTTGTAGGTTGTTCCATTCACAGCATATATCAAAACAAAATCATCGTTGGCCGTGTACTGAAGAGTAAATTGCACCTATAAAAAATGAAAAAATAATTATTTAACCTACGCAAGCCAAATTAGCATATATATTCACTATAAACCATTTTATAAATTAAATTGACTGCATAAATCATGTTTATATTCTTACTGACGAGTAATAAATATATAACATCCTGTTTATTTAAAACAACAAAACCGTAAATATATTTCTTACTTCTTGTTTTAATTTTCAATCAGTGACAAACAACAAAAACAGGAGGTACTATAGGTACTATACCGAATTGTATATGAAACACCAATGAAGTACTTACTAGAGTTCCTACAATTAAACCATTCAAACTAAGGCTAGTTCCTGTGTTGAAATTTTCAAGGACCGTCACCCTTGGCAAGAACAGATAACTCGATGTATTAAACACGATACCAGTAGCAGTACTTGCCTCACACGAATAACAAGACTGATTAGATTTACTGAAGATATAAGAGATGTTGGAGTTACGTGCTGCATATTTATTGCTACATCTTATCAACGATGAAGATTGCTGTACGTCCGCTGAACTCTCCAAACATCCATCTAAGTGTAGGCCACAAAATCCTTGTAACTTTGTTTCGCACTTTGTCCCATTATCTGAGCTACTACAAGTCGTTATGTTGATGTTCGACGTTGCGAGATTAACAAGGAGACACAGGTAAAACAATGTTGCACTCATTTTCATTGACACTTATTTAAAGAACTGTTTAGAAAATCTACTGCATATATCTGTAGAGAATAATAAGTATGTTCAAACGTTTTATTTTTAATACTAAAATTCCGAGCTCTGTTGCGTTTAGCAGACCCAAATATCACAACCTAACCCAAAGAAGCAGCAAGGATGAAATGAAAATGTGGAGTGAATTAACATTCATATAAGTAATCAATAAAATGTAAATTAAAAACATAAACACGCTTTCTCTCTGCCATGGTAATGTTTGTTTCTGTATGCTGACTAAGTCCCGTTGCTGTCGTACCTCTTTTGATCGCACACTCCTTCTTTCAAATTGTATTGTTTCAAGTGCTCAAAAGTTGTATGTAAACGACAATGTTATTCCGCCTACGAAATATATTTGCATTTCTACATTTGTTTAAAATATATTAACATTTATTTACCGAAAAATAAATTTAATTTATATCTATAGGATGAATGAAAAATCGATAAAAATTCTACTTACTTATTTTCGTAATTAGCATTTGTATTTGCCATTTGACGCAAATATGATTAATTCTAATTTTTTTTAACGTTTTCTTACGTCACTATTATGGTTAGATAAGTCTGAAAATATAAATGTGTTATATAAACCACAGCTGTATGAAAAATACAAACCTCACACCGACAATTACTTTTGCCTATAAACGATGTTCTCTGTAAACAAAAGTAACAGATACTTTCTGTTGAAAGATCTGTGTGTTACCCTGTAAATAAAACATAATAAAATATCTACCATATCCTGTAGTTTTCGATCGCTCTTGTTTTCAAATGAGTTTCCAACAGTTACAGTAGAAAATCAAGACGGTTTCTATTTCTGTTGTGCTGCATTCTTTTTTTTTGTTTGTTGTTAACAAACGGCATCGGTCACTTTGAATGATGAACCCTCGCTCACTATTGTTGAAATGATCTACAACGCTATTTTAAACTTACACTTCAGGGTAACCTTAGAAAAAAAATTGTAAGGTAGATCATGAACAATAAAATAAAATATATTACATTTTAGCAGTGGCGTAGCGAGGTCGGGTGTCACCCGGTGCGGCACTTAATTGTAAGGTAGATCATGAACAATAAAATAAAATATATTACATTTTAGCAGTGGCGTAGCGAGGTCGGGTGTCACCCGGTGCGGCACTTAATGGTGTAGCCCCCCCCCCCCCCCAGGCGCATCGACTCTTCCCGGGGACAAACTTTCAATGTTCGATTTGCAACCCCCCTCGAACTTTCGATTTGCACCCCCCCCCCCCCTCAAATTTGTCTCTATATATTTTACTATTTTTTGCCTTGGTGTCACCCCCCTAAATGGTGTCACCCGGTGCAGTCCGACCCCCCCCCGCCCCCCTCGCTACGCCTCTTCGTTTTAGTATTATGTTATGAAATTTGCAAATGCAAAGAATTTGATTTTTTTGTTATAGTTGCTTTTTAACACTAAATCTTTCGGGTTAGTTGTCGGGCGCTCTATTTAGCAGCGCAATAACTCTCAAGTTACCAGCCACAAGACCCTTCTAGTTACCAGCGGCTAGACATATATATTATGTGTTTTATATATATATATATATATATATATATATATATATATATATATATATATATATATATATATCCATAACCTTTCAGATCCGACCCATTAAACTCACATCAGTTCACAACCCCACCCATAAATGGCAAGTTAGCCAAGTTGGCCAAACAAACAGCGATTTATCAGACGACAATTGTGCTGTTCAAGCACGCCACATCATACATAGTTAATTCCTGCCCGACTCCTACTCTCTGCTGCTGCGAGAAAGATTCTACATAAGATTCTATATACGATTCTACATAAGATTCCACATATGATTTGTTCTTCAACGCGTTTCAACAAGGTGGTGATTTAATACAGGTTTCTATTCTGGGAACGACGACATCGTTGTGGATTTTCCCGTTTATCTTAAAACAGCTGATCAAAAAGCAAGGAACAAAAACATTTTTAACTTGTTAATTTGTAATGTGTTAAGCTTTTAATTGGTCCCCCCTTAGCTATACATAATTTCTGTTGTCATAACATTACTAGAGTTGCTGTCTTTACGTTTTCCTGACAAGTTTTCTCACTCAAAAAAAAATAAAAAATTATCCTACCAACATTACTATAACAATGTCACAAAATCAATTCAAATAACATGCATGGCCTTTAAAACACAACATGGTGCACGTTTTTTTTAAATGGAGGATCATTTTCTTTAAATTTTGACTGCTCGATACTTGAAACATTTGCTTGTCGGCTTTTTTAAAATCGTGTCTCAGGATACGATTAGGTTTTGAAACGATTTAGTCATACGTTTAGAGTTTAGAGTAAGAAAGCCGATTGTGATGTTTACACGTTACATATAATATATATCCTATATATATATCCTTTGTATATATATATATATATATATATATATATATATATATATATATATATATATATATATATATATATATACATATATATATATATATATATATATATATATATATATATATATATATATATATATATCCTTTGTATATATATATATATATATATATATATATATATATATATACATATATATATATATACATACATATATATATATATATATATATATATATATATATATATATATATATATATATATATATGTATATATATGTATATATATATAGCCATTTAGTTGAAATGTGACAGGTAGAAGAGTAAAGCATACAGCTGCTAAACCCAAAGTATATCGAGTGTATCGAGGCCACATATCTACAATGAATCCTGAAACTCTACTGATAGCAAGCTTTAGTCAATGAAAGAAATAAGCTGCTGGGCGAGGAAAAGGAAACAAAAGAAATCCAATTTATCTGCGTTTGAAAGACTACCCTCACATAATTCAACAATTTATTGTAGCTATTTGATTGCAGTATATTTGCCTGCAACTGAAAAGGGTTACCTTCAGGCACCTGAAAGTGGGAGGGGGTGGACGGGATTTGAAAAGAGCAACTCCACTGTCCCATTTCCCCATTACTTTGAGACGAAATTGACATAATATCTAATGCATACAGAGATTATGTATTTTATCCAGTGTCCGCCCTTCCAGAAATATTGAAGGCGTCCATCACACTTGCCCCCTCCCCCACTGTTTAGATTGATACGCCCTCCCACACTTCCCCACATCCCGTAGAATATTTTTCTACAGAAACGATGGAAGTAAGCTAAATCTTTTGGATTCTAAAATTACATAAAATTGTAAAATGAAATTCGTAAAAACTAATTGGTATTTAAAATAGTAATATACAGACTTCGTAATTGAATTACACTGAACATAAATAATCTAAACTGAAATGTCTTGTTTTTTTTTTTACTATTCTCGCAGAAAGTTGTTGCTGTGTGAAACTCTCACAGTTGGTGCTATCCTGTTAGAGATGGCCATGACATTGGCGGGCGTCTGGCCCGCTGACGTCCGGACGTTCGTGCTGACGAACGTCTCAGGGTCCACGTAGACGGCGGCGTAGATCTTGGGCAGGAAAAGGAACACCAGCGCCACCGTGTGGTTCAACAGCAACGCCACCGACAGCAGCAGAATCTTGACCGACTCCCTGCTGGCCGTGAAGTACGTGCAGATGAACGACAGCCAGATGACCAGTGTCGTGAAGACGCACATTGAGATGAATTTTGATTCGTTAAAGTTTTCCGGGAGCTTCCGGGTTTTGAAGGCGAAGATGGAGCAGAGCGTGACGAGAACGAGGTTGTAGGCGAGGAATGAAACGAGGCCAGGTAGGGTCAAGTCACAGGAGAGTTCTACAAGTTTTTCGGTGGCCACGGGTTGTCTTTTCTTGGCTGTTGGCTTGAACGTGACATAAACACACAGGCAGATAAATATCTGGAAGATGAAAAAGATAATACACAGGCAGATACATATATGGAAGATTGAATAGATAGGTCATCCCTTAAACGTAGATAAAAATACCAGTGTTCTAATTCAAGTTTCAAAAAATAAAAAATTTGAAATGCAACATATAAATCATTAAAAAAAATTAAAATACTTTTCTCCTACTTTTAATTGACTCGACCAATTTTCTATTGAAGTGATATTATATATTGTTTACCTGTAGAATCTTCTTATTGTCCTGCTTTAATCACTGTTGTATGTTTTTTTTGCTACATGTTTACAATATTTTCTTCTCTATAATACTCACGATCATTACATTTGTATTTATGTGAGGTATTACAATGGAGCCATCGACTGTTAATTAAGTGTTTAACTTTTACCAATATTTTCTGTCCTGATATAGGTACATGAGCTATATTACTACCCGTCTTACCTGTAAAGTTATCAAGACGCAGGCGAATATAATCTACGACTTCGGACTGACAAAATGTATAACATTCATTACTATTTTTATATCCATGTGACCTACTTAGGTCTGGTAATGTTTATTTTTACATTTGTTATAATACCATATATGGTCTGTGGTGCAATGACCGGTTTTTTCCGCTGTCTTACTAAGAGAGTCTTAGACTCAGAAATTTTCCATCAAGATATGATTGATTGATTCAGACCAGATGATACCCCCAACCAATGGCCTTATGATTTGAAGGTGACCTTCCATGTTGCCTAAGTCTATAAATAGACTGCGCACAGGTGTCTCGAGGCAGTTACTTGACCAGACTTCGTTGAGAGACATAAGCCCCGTGTGTTGCCGTGTAGTACTAAATAGTTAAGCAGCATATTCTTATATTACTTGTGGTTAAGTAATTCTTTATGCTTATAGCAGCGTTGTGTAAACTGTGGTGATTTTTCTGGAGTGTTAAAAGCTGTGATAGTGTATCATATTATTATTTCCCACAGATTGTAAGTTGGGTTTTGTTCATTCTGTAAATCTATTTTATCCTGTATAAATCTAGTGTTCTGCCACGACTTTGTACACTCATTACAAGTTATATGCAGATTAAATGTATTGTTGGCATCAGTAGTTTCTCTAGTGTTTCCCCTAGACATCAATTACGAGTCCTAGCGAATTATTGTGTTAGCTTTCTTTTATTTAGGCTTGTCGCCATCTGTGTATAATCAGTGAAACGAATCTGGCTGATAGATTGGTGTCCGTTACATCCAGATATAAATATCCGCCTAAAATGTAAAATATCAAGACTGAGACAAATAATATATGGGACTGTTAATAATGTGTTTAACTTTTACCGATGTTATCTAACCTGACTTATTGACATCAGATATATAACTACTTGGCTTACCTGAAGAACTATCAAGATGGAGGCGAATATAATCAACAATAGTGCACTAACAATGTACTCACTATTTACCAATATCTTCATATTCTGTCCTGATATCGTTACACCAGTCATACAACTTACCTGTAAAACTATCAAGACGGAGGCGAATATAATCTGCGTCAGTGGGCTAACTATGAGCTTACTATTTACTGAGATTGTATATCCTGATATAATTACATTAATCATATAATTTACCTGTAAAAATATCAAGACGGAGGCGAATATAATCTGCGACTGCGGACTAACAAACGGGGGGCGCCGGTTATACTTGGCGCTGCTCTCGAAGATTCTAAAAATCCTGACAGTCTTCACAATCAAGGGTGAGTACAGCCAGGCGAAGCTCATGCAGAACATGAAGTAGAGGGCGCTGCAAGTCTCCGGGGTCGGTCTCGTCTGGAACACGATGACCGTGACGTAGCCCAGGAAGATTCCAGCCATTTGTAGAATGCTGAGCTCTCTGCTAGCGGCCTTGATGACGCGGTTCTCGCGATAGATGAAGTAGGCGGCCACGACAAGACATTGGGCTAAGATAGCGCCGATCGCCATACAGATTTGAATGAGGGACAGCGTGTCGGATGGCGTGGAGAACGTGAGTGGGATTGGAATACAAGTGGTGTAGTTGGAAGCTTCGTCTGGCCAGGTGAACGTGTCGCAGGTGTCACAGCTCGTGCGGTTGCTGACGACGATTTCGTTGCTGTGGCACGTGCGACACTCCCAGCAGCAGATGATCTCTTTGGGCACGGAATATTCCCGAAAAGTGCACGGGTGACTGCAGACGGAGGCTGGTGGCTGTTCGTTGGAATATAACCCGGATATGACGTTATTTTCTGAGTATTCGTACACAAGATGGCTCCAAGAAATATTATTATTTGTGTAGGTAATATTTCCCAATGAAATGTCGTAAATAGCGATTGGCGATTCGATTAAAGTCACAGCCGTTGATTTATTATTTACCGAACTTTCATTTGACTTTTGTAACATAACTTGCCGGATTTGATATTTTCCGATTAAGTTTCCCTGCTCGTCGAATTTTATCCACCCCGTCGACCCCGGAAATGAAGAATTAAACAAATATTTTAGAAGCACGTCCCCTTTGATACAGTGTTGAGCGGCCTTAGCTAAAGCATTAGGGCACAGATTTTTTATCAAACGATGTATGGCGTCCGCATAGGTGAAAACGCTGTCTATAATTAAGGAAATACTCGACGACGGCTTAAAATCGGAAAAATCCGCTGGTGTTTTTAAAAAATCGCACGTCCCGTTTGTAAAAGAACATTTTCCTTGTATTTCAAAATATTGTCTTAACCAAGGATTGGTTGTCGAGTTCACGTGAAGTTGTTTGAAGTATCTAGAGAAATTAAAAACTTCAAATGAGCTGTACATAAAAAGAAACGAACCAATAAGTTGCGGGGCCAGTTCTGTTCTGTAGATGAGTTTATCACTGAGCCCGTCGCTACCGATCCAGATAAAATGACCGAGAATGTTCTGAGCTGTGGCTGCCAGCATGACGCCAGTAGCTGTGGTGGCGCCAGTGAATAAGATAACCACTCTGGCTCTAGGATATCGCAGCAGTTCCGTGACCACAGCGTCGAAGTTGGTTCTGGAGTTGAGTTTTTGTGTCGTTGCCAGACAAATTCCGTACTTATCTGCGAAAAGCTTGACGTTATCTAAAGCCTTTTCTCCGTAGGATCCTTCCTCGTACCCGATGGAGATAAAAGACCAACCGTTGTCTGATATAAATTTAAGCATGGCCTTGACCTGATGTACGTCAGGGGGGACTACTCTCAGGAAATAAGGGTGATTATCCTTGTTGCTTAGCTCGTCAGAAGTTGCTGTGAAGCTGACGAGAGGAAGTTGCGCCACGGCGTAGAGATACGACACCAAGACAGTAGCGGCGCTGGAAAAAGTTCCTATCACACCAACCACATCGTAATGATCGATTCGTGATTCGTTAACTGTTAACGACGTAGAGTTTATATTTCCATTACAGCCTTCTTCAGCAGGCAGAAACGACAACGATTTGGCTAATGCCGTGTTCGGTGTTCGGCAATAGTCGACGATGTATATCCCTAAAGAAATATTAGGTAAGATATCCGGGTTTTCATTCACCATCCTAACAGCGAACATGGTCGCTTCTACGAACTCGATGACCCATGACTCCGGTCTAAGTTTTTTTGTACACATGGCCTGCCCTACAGGGAAGTCTGTAATGCTATACAAGGCACCGATATTGATATCTCCCTCCAGAGCGTAGACTTCAGAATTTAATCCTGGGATTTTCACTTCGCTGTTAGTATCCGTATATGGTAATAACAAAGTTAGCCCAAATATCACAAGTAGAAATATATAAAGCATGACTACTTGTTAAACGTTGGAATGGAGCCCACAGAGAAATGTGGGCAGTCCCAGAAAATCCTGTTGAAAGCGAATCAAGTGGCGCCGGCTTACATGGACCCAGATAAAAAGAGCTGCACAAAACTGATTCTGTTGTAGAGGTGTAGCGGCAGCCCTTTGCTTATCAGGGGCTTTACATGAAAAAGCCAATCTCTATCTAAGCATGTGTCTTTAGGCTATTGTAGGAAGTGATGTAGCGAATGTGAAGATGTCCCATATTTTATACATCACCATCAATGGATTCAAAGTTGCAACACTCATTATCTCCATTGCGTATAAACGTTTAACTTACAAAAATGTATAACTTGTTTTTCTGCTCACATTTACACATGAGAAAACACAACTGAAAAATACTAATCATATATTAGTGTTTATTTAGTGTTATGTTATCGCAGTTATATGCAAATCGAAGAAAGAAACAAGTGCTGCTTATTGATGTGCTAATACATTGTAGTATGTTTGAAAGTAGTTCTTTTGCTATTTGTTCAGTCAAAATATTGTTAGTTTAAAACTGTATGTTGCCGTGTGCTCCGATCCTCATGAAAAGTTAATGGTTCTTGTCCTAGCTTATAATGTAATTTTCTCAGCCGGATCTGTCTTGTGTTGCAATGTGTTGGTAGCATTGTACTTGATAAATAATTCGGAATCTTTCACACCTCTGGGCACCTTGCATGTGTAGGTCGCCTATTTTAATCTGTATCATTGTTTAAGAAGATGTAAACACAATATAACAACCAAACTTGCTAAATTTAATTCCACACCAAGACACAAAGTGGGATTGTAAAAGTGAATAAGTTGCTTTTAAAAAAAAATTAGGTGGCTTTTGTTATCAAACTTGATAAAACTCTTTTCCCTTATAATGCTGTTGTTGTTTTTTTCACTGTTGTTGACAAGAGTTTAGAAGTTGTTCATAAAATAAATCGTCTGCGATAATTAGCTTGGTCAAAATACATAGTGGACACAATAGGCTGGCCTTAGTCCAAGTTAGATTTTTCGTGAGTTTTTAAATCAAAACTATATTAATACGATTGAGACATTGCTTTGTCGTCTTACAGCACTGATTAAATGAAACATGCAATCCTTATCTAGTTCCCTGATCTCCGATTCCCAGGAAAGTAGACAAATACACTACAAGATGATGCATGTAAAGCCACCACTAAACATCTGTTGTTATAATCTGATCAGTATCTTTGTCGGAATTATAAGATAATTTTTGGAATAAATGTATTGTTGGAACATCAACGAAAATTTGTAAATAAACGAAACCGAGGGTTGGTATTTTTATCAGCGGACATGATTATCAAGTCGAGGTTACAAAAGTAGGTCGAGCGACATTACTTTCTATAATTGTCTTACTCTTGTCCAATATCTCGATAAATGTTCGGGTTTTTTGGATTTATTCAAGATCAAGGTACTCATAGCAATTCCTGGCACATATCTCAGATTCTGGCTCTCGTCCCACATTCTTTTACTTGTCTGTATAACGGCACATGTCCCAGGTTGTGGAACGTATCGCAGGTTCTGGAACTTGACTCAGGCTACTGGTCTGTATGACGGCACATGTGCCACGCTCTGGAACTTATCTTAGATTTTAGAACTTATCTCAGATTTTGGAACTTATCTCAGATGATGGAACTTATCCCAGATCACTGGTCTATGTGACGGCACATGTGCCACGCTCTGAAACTTATCTTAGATTTTAGAACTTATCTCAGATTTTGGAACTTATCTCAGATGATGGAACTTATCCAAGATCACTGGTCTATGTGACGGCACATGTGCCACGCTCTGGAACTTATCTTAGATTATGGAACTTATCTCAGGTCGCTGGTCCGTGTGACGCCATGCGCCCGTTGTAAGCTGGTGACGTCATCGGGTCGATACAAACCGCGCCGCCATCTTTGCCTCTGTCAACACCCGCCCATTGTGAAAGACAAATAGCTTTGTTTCTTTTCCCGACAGCTAAACAATCCAGCTAAAAATAGAAGAATAAAAAAAGATTACTACTACAATGTCAGTAGTTGAAGGCTGCCTATTTCTAAAATAGAACTCGTTAAAATGAATTTATTTTTTTGAATAGTAAATATTTTCTATGCCAAAATTATTTTTGTTTCATTTGCAGATTAAATAAAAATATGAATGCTAAGCTACATTTCAAATTATGACAGGCAAAAGCATGGATATGCAGAGTGGGAGGGTGGAATACAATTATAAACTGGAACAAAGGGAAGAAAGGAATCAAAACAACGAAACGAAATATGTCGCTCACAAAATATGAGCTATATTGAACTTGGTGGGTCTAAGAAATTTTGTGTGTGCACGGTAAGATTGAACTGGTGGTTTAGCTCTATAAGTAAAAAAAAATACGTGTCACTAGTTGCAATAAGATCACGTTGTTCCCTATAACGTACCTCCCACAACCAGTAAGTCAGCGTGAGCTCTTCTACTGTGGTAAAGAAAGTGGGGAGGTGGGTGATTAATATAATGTTTGTAACGGGGTGAAGTTGTAGCTGTGTGTATAGTCAAAGTAGAATTATTGTAAGGTTTATGATTAAATAAGAATTTAATCTAAGTTTTTAAAAATTTATTTATTGTTTTTTTTTTTGCAAGAGTAAAGTCTAATTAGTGTGTTTTGTGATATTTTCAAAGTAATTTACACTCTATTTAGTACGAATATGTATAGTTCTATGTCAATAGTGTTATACAATATATAATATATATTTGCTCTCAACACTTTTGGATAACCTCATTCTGTATCCTCATTAGTTTTGATTACCCACATCGTTAAAAAAATGAATGCAGCGCAATATTTATTTCTAGCGTTTTTACGACTAATATGTGTACGTTTATCAATTAATTCAACAAATTTTGAACACAGTCACCTTTTACATTTTTTTCTTTTAATTACTAGGTAACGAACCTAGTAATTAACAACAAAAAAAAAGAATATGAAAAAATTATTTTCTTTTATTTATTTTTTATGTTTTTAAAATATTTTTTTAACAGTAACCTTTACTTTATTAAAATTACTTTTTAGGACAAATAAAGAAGAGTAGGATCTTTTAAATGCACCAAGTTCAACTTAAAGCAAGTGGTTCTTGAAGTATACGCTTGTGTGTTATAACTCCCTTTTGTATTAGATCAGGTATCTCCACAGCCAGAAATGGTCCAATCCCCAGGGGGCCATAGCATGTGCAATACCAAATCTAGGAACATTACGTGCACATAAAGGTTTAAAATGATCTGTTAGCAGGGGCGTAGCGAGGGGGGGGGGGGCGGGGGGTTGAGGACCGCACCGGATGACACCCGACCTCGTTACGCCACTGTCTGTTAGACAGATTTTGCCTCCCCTGTACATTTGTGCATTTTTTCCATCTAGCTCTGGAATAGCTATTTCAGGAGAAGTTGTAGGGTATGTCACCGGAATATCAAATTCAATGTCGAATTCCTATTTGAGTAACTCATGAATGTACCAGCATTTGCCAAACCACCTAGTTCCTTCTTTATTGGACCCCAGCCTAAACCAGTCATTATCACTTTCTTTGTTGTGTTGTACATACTGTAGTAATGCTTGGTATTCTTCTTTGAGTCTTTTTATCCACAAATCACCATCTAGTGGTCCGGCTTTGGTTTTTAACAGAGGGATGTTGGCTAAAGTTGATTGTGTTGCTTCGTCTACCATGGTGTATATAGACTCTATTATTTTCTTTGAGATTGTTTTTTTTTTTTTTTTTTTTTTTTTATGTACACATTACATTTATTTAGTATTGATGGAATCATAGCAAATTGTTGTGAGATCATCATATGAAAACTTTAAAATGATTTGTTTTACTGGACATCTTTATGTATGTATAGCAGGTTACATTTTGTTTATTCAAATATGAATGTTCTTACAATTGTGATGTAGCTCTTTTTTTTTTATTTATTAATTTAATTGTTTTAAACATTTAAATCAGTAATAATAATATATTTGATAGATTTTACACAGCATCAAAGACATGAACAATCAACATCAATTGCATATATAATAATCAAAGGGAGAAAATAAAATGGCATAAGAACTAGATTAAAATAAGGTGTGCAAACTAGGTTTCTCTTGACTGCTTAGTTTAGTGTGCTGCGGAGTCAAAAGTTCACATTGTAGCCATCCATGGACAGAAATAGAAACGATCGTGGGAGAAGTATCTTTGTAATACACATACTGATCTATCATTCCAAAACTTTCCATGACATAAAATTGAGCCTTGGCAATGAGGGCACGCTACCTAGAAATATCCGCCAGTCCGGTTGAGTGGGGGGGGGGGGGGGGGGGGGGGAAGTGTGTGTGTGTGTGGGGGGGGGGGGGGGTTGAGGTGTGTATATCTTTCTACCATTCAGGCTGTGCATTTTTAAACCCGGGAAACTGAAGACTGTTCTAATGTTAATTTACTTGGGGGCTGATCGAGTGATATTTGGCTTGAGACTGTCTAAATTAAAATTAATACTTTATTTCTTTCCTGTATATTTCTTTTTTCTCAGTTAAGTGAGAGTTCCCAGTCTATGTCTTAGCTTTGCTTGAAATATTTCTTTTAACTCGATGCCCGTGTATTTTGTGAACAAATATCTGACTTTATTCCTAATTTACCATATAGTCGATCTATAAATAGCCGTTGCTACTAGTCTGTTTTCGTCTTCTGTTCTTTGTCTAGTCGAATTAATTAAATTAAGTGTGATTAGTTTTTGTGAATTTTTAATTAAGTCAACAATGGATACAGAAATTCATTAAGTAAGAATATCAGAATTTAATAGAAGCCATTCTTATAGAGTTAAACGTCTAAAGTATTTATAGTCTAAATTTATAATTTAAAACATTTATATTGAAAACGTTTAAGAACAATTTTCATTTTTATACTCAAAATAATAATTACCACATGTACATTAAACAAAATATAAAAAAAAATCCTATTTCACACAAATTCTAT